TTCCGCATTTTCCATTTTCATGTGTTTTTGTAATGTACTGCATAATATTTATGTACATAGAGGAAACATGTGAAAGAAATATAAAATATATATGTACATATTTATTTTAAAGTACTTAGTCGTATTTAAATGTATTGATTTCAGCAAAACATGTGAAAAACACACATATTTTTATACATAAAAATGTATGCGTTTTGGCAGTGGGGCGGACAAAAAATGACACTAGTTACAAAGTGATGACTTCAGTTAAGTGAGAAAAAACATAACTTTAACTGCCACATAATTAGGCAAAATAAATTGAAATTAGGAATATTCTAAAAAAAAAAAAAAAAAAAAATATTTCTATTTCTCATTGATAAAAGCTTAAAAATGTGTAAGAAATACTAAAAACAAAAGAAAGTGGAATACATAGCAGCGGAGTAGTAGTAGTAATAGAAGTAGTAATAATAGTGGTGGCAGATTTAATGACAGTATTAGAGAGTAGGCGGTAGAGCATACTTGCAACATTGTATTTGTTTGCATACATTTCGTTTCACATCATTTGTGCTAACCACACAGCCAACACAAAACTTACCGTCTTCGCCGCTCGAGGCCTGACCAACGCCATCAGCGCCAAGTGTACCTAATTCGGCTGCCTGAATAATTAGTGAAACGCGATAGAAATAATTCCGCCAGAAATTCTCTTCGGTGATGCTGTTCAGTGCGGGAAAAATATGCGCAAATTAATAAATTATAAAATTTACGGTTAGGAGCTCTGTTTTTGAGCTACACTCACATTTTGGGCACCAATTCAAATCGCATCGTTTCCAGCGCCTTATCTTCGGCCATTATGGCAATAGCTGTGGGATACGCTGTATCATAGTTGAATTCGAAATCAACACCGGCTGGTGGTGCGCGCACAAAATTACGACGATCCTGTGAGAGGCCGAGTATTTCCTCTTTGATCTTAGCCTCGTTGGGGTGTCCGATCCAAGGTGCAGCACCGGAATCTTGACCGCCTTGACTTTTCATAAAGGCTTCCTGTTCTTTGTTGAAGGACTCGAGTATGGGCTGTGTGGACAAAAGGAGTTGCAGTTTGTAAAATTATTATTAGTGAGCAATAAATTTGATGTTTAAATATATCTAAGAAAGTGGGTTGCAGTTAGACTAAAGGAAAGAACTGTCTCATTGAGCTACGAATTGTTAAAATAATTTTAAAGGCAAACCAGTTGACTCCGACGGCGTTTGATGAATTATTGGCAATCTTAATCTGTGCAAATTAAACATTGAAAAGGGTTGAAAAGGCGCATTCTACTTAACTTTTCAGATAGCCAAGCATCCATCCGGCCCAGACAGGTAAAGACTTCTTCGACACGCTTAAAATTTTGGCTTGGCAGCTCTGTGCTAGGACTTAGGCAACTGTGGGGACTTGACAAGAAATGGATCTTGTAACTGCCTTTTTGGAAATAGAACCCTTTTCTGGCCCTAGTTGGTACCTACGCTTCGAGAGCCATTATTACTGAGAGGGTAGATTCCCCTCTGTGTAACTAACTGGTCACAATTGAGTGCGATTTTACATGCGCCAAATAGGTGTGATCGCAGAGTGAAAATGCCGGCTCCGTCTTGATGACGTTGAGAGTTCAGAGCACAATTTCGGTGACTGTTTGCACATGGCCAGGCAACGACAAATTCATATTAGAGCTGCAATATTCAAACCCTTTGTAATAAAGAATTTAATGGCAGTAGTACAGAATAGACGGCCAATGCCTTTTGGAATCATTGAGGAAGCCGAAGGCAACTTGGGAATATTAGGTTAGGGACTCACTTTCGAGATACAAAAGATCTACCAGGTCGCAGTGTCTCGTATTCTGATATATCCAAGCACTTAAGTAAATAACTAACTACATAACTTCAGCTTTCGAGACGGTCTGTTTGCTGATACACAGCGAAGTTAGTTTGGGTGCGGGGTTCTAAAGATATTCTGCGTAACTGCGAATCTGATGAACTTGCAAGGACAGGAAGCATAGTCCAAGCTTTAACTAAAGACAAATTTCTTTGTTTTGGAAAATAAAAGGAGGGCTGCAGAACCTATATCTCTGGGGTAAAATGCTAAATCTGGCAGAGGCTTGATAACAAGTAAACTGAAGATCTTATAGAACGTCTCCAACTCTGCCTGGTAATAGGCATCATTATGGGCCACTATGTTATGGGAGAGCATGCCAGTGGAAAGTGATATCTGGAAAATGACTACTAACGCAGCAACACGTCCTTTGTTTCGGTATGGGTCTGGGTCTGGCTAAACTTAGGCGGCGATGCCGCAATAAGTACTATTTCGGCGGTCTGTGCCACATACATACAAATGTAAGCTCGACAAAAGTCTACAAAATACAACGCGGCTTTAAATAAACTAACTGGTTCTTTTTCGAGGTAAAAGGTCGGAATCAATACTGGGCCAACTAAATGCTATCACAACGGACTCACTCAGACTAAGTATGCCGCCATCTAGAACCTTAATGAGCGCAGCCACCACAACCCAACCTAATCTACAAATCTACACAAGGTTTTGCAAGGCTGCCGCCTCACAGAGCACGCTACAAGAAATTTTTCATTGGCAGAACCCATTTCAAGCGGGCCAAAAAGCGTTTCCACCAACTCGTCCACCAGATTCAGAAATATATTTGGATTCCAGTGGACTCGAGGGTGTATAGAAAGATATTGAGCCGCAACCTCTAAAAAATCGTTTCTCTAAAGAAGTCCCAAGTTACCTTTAGAGTTTCGCTGACACCTAATTGAGCATTTTTATTTTTCTATTTGGCACTATTTTATCCCCAATGCGGTGCCTCCTAGCTAAGGATAGTTGGCAGCCCTGTTATCCTGTCGTTGTTGCTTTTTAAACGGGTTTCAATAAGGGCGGGTCCACGTTAAAATGGAATGAAGCAAACTATTTATGTGTGATATATGTATGTACATTAGGGTGCATCACTCGGATATATATATAGTAAAATATTAAGATTTACGGGAGATGAACCGACTTGAAAATACTCCCAAAAAACTCTTTGATTTGACTTTCGTTGATACAAAATTTTGAATATCTTATGTATGTATGTAGATGTCAGAGCTGTAAAATGATTGAATCAATAGGATCTGCATTCACTCGGCATTCTTTTCAAAATTTTGATTGTTTGTTTGTATAAAAAAAAACCTCATTACTGAGTGGCTTAAAATACTTGAAAACAAAGAAACTGTGTTGTGTTATTGAATGGTAGATTGACATTCAGTATAGAATGTGAATGTAACAGAAGCATTCGCACACAGACATGATTGTATATTTAGAATGAATGCACACTTTTTTTTTACCATTCAGTACCAATAATTTGTTCCCAGGGTTGATATATTTTATACTTTAAAGTTTGAACATATCTGGAATTGAAACAAAAACAAATATTTTATTTCAAAGTATATGTACTTATGTATTGAAGTTTTCTGCCACTAACCCAAAGCCAATGACTCGTGCAATATTATTTATTCCAAAGCAACTTATCGCAACCGTAGAGCAAAACAGACACATCTTGATATGTATACATATACATCATCGATTGTAGACATTTTTTCGCAGAAGAATATACAAAATTGATTTATCACAATTATTTTTGTACTAAATATTTTTTTCACAGTATACAGTGATCCAGGTAGCCAAAACAAAAAATGTAAACATGCTTATTTGGCATTTTGTTTGAATGTATTGGTTGATATTTTTTCACAGTTGTCGTTTTCGTTAACCCAAATGAAATCCAATTTAAATATTTTCTTATAGTGAAAAATATTTTCAAGTCACATAAAATAAAATAACGAGAAACACGAAATTCCAAGCAAATGAAGCGTGAAGCGTTAGCAATTATGACCGGATGCAGTTCCTACATAAGTCAAACCGTGTTCTGAACACAACTTTGAGTGAATAATGGTGGGCTGACTTTGTAAAATGGTCCCATCGATTAGGCGGTAAAAGAAGTATTACTTAGCTTATGGTACAGCTCTCCAATTTTCAAATGCACGTAATTTGTGTGTATTTGTTCAGCCGATTATTCACATTTGAAGGAGGATAATGCATGAATTAATGCAAGTAAAGACGGTTTATGCAAATAAGCGAGCGCGTTTGTTAACCGTATAAAATGTATGTATGTATATACACATATATTCAGAATGACGAGATGAACTAGTTCAGCCCTCTCTGTTTGTAAGCACGCTAACTCGAACATAATTTAGTTATTTTAACGAAAGTCGGTGTCGAAGTTGCCTTTGGTATAATTTAGGTTAGTGTTAAATTTTGTCGAAATCTGCCAATAACCACGCCCACCTCCCACGTAGTAATTAACAATATTTTTGTTTTATTATAATTTGTTTTATGAATTTTGCTGTTCAAATTTACATTTAAAATATATCAACAAACATTTGTAGGTACTTTTGCACCAGTTGTTGCCTATGGGTTAATGACAAAAAAATCCTATATATTCACAACATTTCATGTATTAGTTTTCAAATAAGCATATTGTCAATGGCTGGTTTGCTGTATACTGTGATTGTTTTCAGTTTTCAAATATGAAAACTTTCAAAACAAAATTTCAGAAGGGTTCCTGTTTTTTTTTTAAGGGGTTGAGGAGTTCCATTACTTTGAGCAACTTTTTTAATAAACTATTAATTTAAATGTTTCCTAAACATATTTACAACGCAGTTCTGCAAGAGGGTACCATAACTTTTTTTCAAATAACGTATATTTGGAACAACCAAAATTAATCGATATGGATACATACATTTATGTTCGTATGTACTACTTATGTATGTATATATACATAAAAATGCTCAGAATAAAAAGAGAAGATGATTAGTCCATGTCCGTTTATTTGCGTACACGAAAACTCTAGCAAAAGTTGAGATAACTCAACGAAATTCTGTACGAGGGTTTTTTTATCTAGGGCAGCAGGGTATTGAAAATACAAAAGTCGAACAATAACCTGGTCCCTCTCATAAAATGGTAATTTCGAAAAATGCCAAAACTACAATATTTCCTTAATTACAGGAACCAAATTGCTTAAAAACTGCCATGTTTATTATTATAGTTTTGGAAAATGGGATATATTGCTAGCTTTAAACATCAATTTGCTCAAAACATACGTTTAGAACAGTTAGCAAGCTTCTACCACATGTGTGGTAGATCAACCACGTAATTTTTTTTAAATTTGGGTGTCTACCACATCTACCACACAAGGCTTAAATTCTACCACATTTTTAGACAGAACATTTGTTTACAATTTTCACATAACTCTAGAATTTCAACTCAATTGTAATTCGAAATATAAAAATTAATCAATAGATTTTTAAAAAGGTACATCATAAATTTTGCTTTAAATATATCTGTGCCTTAACTTTCTAATATTTCAAAAATACGCCTATTTATATTTGCTAAAGTATTATGCAATGGGAAAATAATTTGGTCGATTTTTTGCATACAAATAAAATATTCTTTTCTTCATGATTATATTCTCTAACTAGAAAACTAATGTTATACTTGTTTTTGCACCAATTGCGTGGAATCTGTACGATCCACTAGCAATTATATTTCCCGATTTAATTTTTGAGTTGTGCTTCTTTTGACGACGGTGTGCGATATGTATACCCAATAAAATATGAATTGGAAAATCTACCACATTTTTTTCGATTCTACCACACTAAAATAAAAAGGGGTTTGCACACAGATTTGTTAAATCTTTTTTTGAGAAAAGTTGATAATTTGCAACTTATTGTAAATGGTAGAAACCACCACAAACCCACAAATCAGGTTTTAGAATCTTTATTAAATGCTTGACCCAATAGCGAAGAAAAAAGTACGAAGAAACTTGTATTAAGAATTTTTTAAATAAATAATAAAATGTATATATCTAAAGTTAGAAGTAGAAGCGCTTAAATTTGTTTACTTATTTTAACGTAGATATATAGGTATGTACATATGTAATAATTTCTGCACATACCTTTTATTGGTACATTGGTAATACTTATTTAGAAAGCTGACAATTTTCGAAACAGAGATGTAAAAATCGTTAATAATTGACATTTTTCATAATGACATTCTTGGCAGAACAATATTTCTCTAATTAATATTTTCATTTATTATAAATATTTGTACAAATTTAAGTGAAACAAATTAATGATAACGCTCAATAAACTATTTTTCGTGTTGCAATTTTGAAATCTGTTCAATAAAATTCAACCTTGCGTATTTTTCAGTGGGTTTTGTGTATTTAGAATATTTATATCGATTGATTGGTACTGAATGAATGTGTGCACACATAGCAAAAGCTGCATTCATCTGAATGCTTATTCAGTGTTAAAAGTTAATGTTTCGTCATTCAGTTTTTTCAATCTTTCTTTGAATATGTTAATGTGTGCAATCGTATCTACTTTGAGTGAATGTAGAATTGGAAAATTATAAGCCACATTCCCCAACAAGGAAAAATTCAATGAAAACATAATAGCATAAAATTGATGATTTTTAATTTCAAATGATTTCACAGTTTTACAGCTCTGGTAGATGTGATTTTTTAGAAAAAAAAAATTAAAAAAAAAAATATGTTATCTATAATAACCTCTGTTTTTGGACGTAATCCAGCTCACGTGAATCTTAATTCAAAATAGGTCAGGAAGAGCTTTTATCCGTCAAAGTAGTAGGATTGGTAAGTCTGTTTGTACACATGTTTTTAAAGGCAATAAACTCTATTTAACGGGTTATGTATTTAGCGCTTGAAGAAGTAAAGCCCTATCATTTGACATTTGTCAAATCTCACTGTCATCCAAACTGGTACTTAACTGGTTAAAGGTTTGTTATTTCACAATAATGAATGTTTTCAAATTATTAAGTTATTCTATCAAAATGGTGAATCCCCAATGGCAAAATTTGTGCACATCTCCAATAAGTTCTTTCAGTGAAGCGACCCATTTCCCCCTCCGTGGCTATTTTAATAAGCGAAATTGTCGAATTTAGGGTAGTGAGCAACCGCAAGAGACCGCCGAGAAACCATTCCAACTGCAAGAAGTGAGTCGTTGGGTTACATTAGGGTGGAGCGAAAAAAAATTAGATTTCGAAATTCCAGTAGTGCGGAAAAGTTGCGTAATATGATCACAAGGAACCGTGTTAAATCCTTTCGAAAAATTTCGCAAATTATAGTTCTTTTATACTTTTTTAAAAGATTTTCTAAAATTTTTTGGATATGCAGTTTTATGTAATTTGCCAGTTGCTAAAAAATCGCGATAATTTTTGGCAATGCATGTAAGATTCAGTGTTTTTTTTTTGAGATTTCGAAAAATTTCTCAAATTATAATTCTTTTATACTTTTTTAAAAGATTTTCTAAAAATTTTTGGATATGCAGTTTTATGCAATTTGCAAGTGTGTTTTTTTTCAGATTTAATTTTTCAAGGAGAATATCGATCACCCTGCACCTATCTATGTATCTATTTTTAAAACTAATGCTTAATGTATGTATGTATATGTGTACACCATATAACCACTTACATTCTCCTTGACAGTCTCCTTGATTTTGGCGCCCGCCTTATTTATTGCCGACGACAAGAATGAACCAAAATGCTTTGCCTGTTGCGTTACTTTTGTGGTAACTGAAATTGTTTATGTACATAGATAAAAGTGGAAACATAGAATTAGCTAAACTATTTAAATTAGTTTGCTATAATAAATGTACGAAGCTCTCGTCACTACAGTATACAATAACAACAAATGAGTTTACATACATACATATCTGACATGCACCAGACTTAAAAAAAAAAAAAAAATAGTACACAAGCGAGCGTATTATTAGTAACCTGTCACCATTTCTTCCATTCTTTGTGTGTTAATAGTATTAATTATTATTGATTTTTTTTTTGGAAAAATTTGTTATTTTAATTTGACATTGAAATAAAATTTGTTAAGCACATTGAGCACATTTTTTGTTTGACATTAATTTTGTTACCAATTTTGAATAAAATTTTGTACTGTGACACGTACTGTTCGCTTCTTCGCCCTTACCCTGTCCGATTTGACCCTCATCGCCAGTGGGGGTGCCACCGCCGGAAGCGGGATGCGAATCGGCACCCTCTGTAGCGCTGTAATGAAATGGTAAGCAGTATTAAAGTTATATTAGTTCATTCTTGGTAATTAATACTTGTGGGTTATATTGGAAAGAAAAGAGTGCAAAAACTTTAAAATATTACATGCAAATACAAACATTTTTTATAGACACAAAAAAAAAAACAAGAACAATCATATAAATAAAGCATGCATGCAAAATTCAATTTTCAAATTTGTATATGGTAAATTTAAGAAACTATTAAAGACATATTTACATAACGAGCTCTAACCGCAAAAATAACGTCAGTGAATTTGTCGAGTTTTTTTTGCTTCAAAAATGAGAATTTTGAAAAAAATTAAGTTTGCGTTTTTTTCGCGCCGACGGTTCTATACACTAAGCAATGGGAAATGAAATATACAATGAAATGAAGTAACAAAAATAACTCTTGAACTAAAATTATAAGAAGAGCTATAAGGCTATATAAGGCTATAAGAAGTTCCATTTATTATTGAAAAGTTTTCGGAAAGCTTCGTGTGCTTTCTAATGAAAGTTCTTCCTGAAAATTGCTAACACGAGATTTTTATTGGAACAGAGAATACTAACTAATAAAAGTATTTACCCAGCAAAAAATCGGTAATCGCTTTTAGTGGTAACGTGTTCTAGAAGGCATAGCGTTATGATGCCTTCGAATTTTTTCGCTTCTTTTAGGCATTGCCGGTAATGCAAAGTAGAATGTCCAACAATATTTTATTTATTTCGCTTCTTTGTTTGATTTCGGGGAATGCAAAGTAGAATGTCCTATACTATTTCTTTTTAAATTCGTTTCTTTGCTTCATTTTCGGAAATGTAAAGTAGAATGTCCTACAATATTTTATTTGTTTCGCTTCTTTGCTTCATTTCAGGGAATGCAAAGTAGAATGTCCTACAATATTTTTTTTTATTTCGCTTCTTTGCTTCATTTCGGAGAATGCAAAGTAGAATGCTGCATCGTAGTCAGCTGAAAAATAGAATGAATATCCAAAAATTCTTTTTCTACCGTTACTTTCTGTGGAAATTTGTCTCGCATAAAGATCATGTTTTGCTTTGTTAAATTTGCAGCGAAGTTGAAGTCAGTCAATGAAGTGAAGTACAAGAGCGAGGAAGTACAATTTTAAGCTTAGTTAAATATGCATGTATGTACATACCGATTTTTAAGAAAATTTAAATACCTAAATAAATACATATGTATGTATAAAAGCTGATTTATAAAAATTTTAATTAATTTTAATCTTTTAAGACATTTTCTGATTTCAGTTTAATATAAATAAGTATGTACTTATCTAGGCATTCTACATTAGTTTCTCTCTAAGGTATTCTTTGTTCGCTTCTCTGGATTCTATTTATCCATGCGTTATCCCTTCGTTTGAAGGTAATGCTGCGGGTAAGGGCTTACCTCCAATGACATGGCCATGTTAAAATAAGGCCTTCTTGAAGCGAAAGGGTAAGCGATTCCCATCGCCTAGCTCGTTCCCACTTTCGTTTCTGTGGTAATCGTGTTTTTTGCTGGGTAAATTTCCCACGTGCCCATCGATTATCGCTCGTGGTTCTTTTAAAGTTTAGGAGTGTGTTTTGGTGTTTCGAGGTGAAGAGTAGAATGAAATGTCATGTTTGCAACCTATCATTTTTTTGTACAGGACGGTAAGTTGGTCTACCATTTCCAATAACTGGCAGCCATTTTCGTACGTTGCACGGCGCTCAGTGAGACATTTGAAAACTCTATGAGAATTAATTGTAGCGCTTTCGACAGAAGCAAAATTTTTTGTTTGAAAGCAGAATTAATTCCCCTGTCAAGAAAAATATCGCAACTGAGTCAAAATTACTTTTTGGCCTTAAAAAATAGGTAAAAATAATGTCCTTAAAAAAAAACTTTAAAGACTACCGGATTCCTTCCAAAAAAACTCGAACAACTAATAAGGTGTAGTGACATTCAATATCTTTAATTTGAGTCATGGTAGAAATATCTAGGCCCGCCGAGACCCCAATTATAACGGTTTTAAAGCCACAATTCAGAATTGCATGTAGCAGTTTTTTTACTCTCAAATTAAAAAAAAAAAATCCAAAAAATAAAAAATAATGACTTTATGTGGGGATTACGCTAGATAAGACACTTAATTGGCTCTTCCATCTTGAGAGAACGATATTGCTAAAGCCATACCGGCCATCTGGGCCTACAGAAGACTTTTTGGTAGAACATGGGGATTGAGCTCGAGGCTGAAAGAGTGGTCCTACCGTATGATCGTCCCTTCGATTGTGTCTTATGCATCCATAGCATGGCGGCAGAAGACATTACAAAAATCTGCCTTACTTCGCCTTAACAAGCTGCAAAGATTGGCTTGTCACTGGATCTATAAGAATATGTTCAACTGCGGCTCTAGAGTCGCTCGTGGGATGGACTCCTCTCCATATTTTTATCCAGGAAACAGCAGCGCCGAGGGAGCTGCAACTTCGACTATCTAACGATGGCTTCTTCGCAAAGCAGCTTCATGCAGGTATTCTTGGGGAGATACCAGGGTTGGAAATATGCGGAATCTCTGATTCCATGACTAAAGAGGCCTGCTTTGGCAGAAAGTTCCAAGTGATAATCTCACTTTGAACTGACTACTAACTTTATTTAAATGAGTTCTATACTCCTTAATCAGTTTCGGCTTTCTTGTAAAGAGCAATCTCCTGAATGGAAATTAGTTCAGTCGAATTAGAGTCGAAAATTGGTAATTTGACTGTTTTCTGCATGTTGGTCAATTCTTTTTGAATGCAGCGAGGCTAGTCGCAAGAAATGTATAAGAAATAATAAATGATTGGAGCGGGTCCGGGGTCGGAAAATCGCCGTCATTTTGAAAATTTACTTTTTCAACTCCCCAAGTGTGTGGTGCTCCATCTCATCAATCTTGTTTTTATAAAAAGGATTAAAGTTTCGGCGACCTTTAATAAAATTTTATGTTAAATATTTTGTAGAACACATTAGTCCGGTAACTTTTGGAAAACCGAATCAAAAGGACCGGTTCTGGTGAAAATTGGTGTGTTAAGTTTTCTATGAGAAAAATTTCTTCTAAATTAAATGTACTACCTTGGCCACCTTTAGTTCATACACTTTGAACTTTATTTCTGCTTTAAGATTGTATGAATGAAAAGTGTGAAGTGTATGAACTAAAGGTGGGCAGAGTAGTACATATACAGTTATTGTTTTGTCTATATATGTAACTTAAATAGTTTTCTTACAAAACCATAGTTAATTCCAAAATATAAACCATTTAAATATAAGTTACAGAATTAAAAAAAAATCGCCAAATTTTCGGCCAAATTTCAAACTTTTTTGTCGGAACTTGTTTGATATGCAGTTTTATTGCCCATTGAATTCCAGTGCAAGTGTGAATTTTCGAAAAAAATCCGTTAATTTTTTTTGCTGACGGGGTTGAGCATTTTCTTTCATATAAAAAATTTTAGAACATACTTTGTATTCTGACACAAATGTTTGAAATTTGGCGAGTTTTTTTTTTATTATAGATAAAGTTTGAAACTTTTATTTAAATGCTTTACCTATATATTATATACTATACTTTTATAAAAAATTAATTAAAGTCAAAAAGATTTTTTTTTCAATTCGTCAACACGTCGACGCTCTATTTTATCGGACATCATTTAGGTCTCCCAAGAAAATAATTACACATACATAAATGTCATATTTTAAAAGTATTTAAAAAGTTAACATTTTTTTTACCAAGTGGAAACCTCGCACCACTGTAAAAAAAAAAATTTGATGATATGGAGCGAAATTCCTTTAGCATTTGATTGCAACGTTACTTTTGAGTATGGTTTGGATGAGATTTTTTTCACTATTGACATAAAATACTTATGTACAAAAATGTATTTAATAAAGTTTTACCATATAAAAACGTGCTCTCTAAACCAGCTACCATTCAAATTTTTCAAAAGTCGTTCAATGGAAAATTTAAAAATTACATAATTGGGAAAAGGAATGAATTCATGAGAAAACTAATGAGCTGACATGAGTTGAATGATGCTCAAAAATATAAGTACATGTGTATGTATGTATGTACATCGAGATTAAACCGCGGAGCAAAGAATCGCCGAAATTTACAAAGCTTACATTGAGGACAGATATTGGAGCTATCAGAAAGCGAGAGGCGAATGAGAGTTGATGGTATATGAGGATATGTGGGGAAAAAAGAATGTCACAAGAAGTTTAGTAAAAAAGTGAAAGGAATACAATTTGACCGATAGGGAAAAGCACGCGACTCTTTTTAAGTTTCGCGTTCGAAAAGCTTTAGCTTAGTAAGGAAGGGAGCAAAAGCTAAATTATTAAATTAATTGCATAAATGTAAATTAATTTAAAAAAATATGGAAAAAAGAATACGAAGTAATAAATACGAAAGCAAAAAAATAGAATCGAAGAAGCGCAAAGTATAAAGTATAGAAAAGCAAGAGTAGTCTACGTCCAAAAAAATAAAACTAAAATAAAAAGTAACAGAAGAAGGGAAAAGTAGTGGTCATTACCCAGAAGACACTTACAATTCATGAGCACAAAAAATCGCACTATTTGTTCACTACAATTCTCACTAGACAACAAAAAGACATAATGACAATAATGTTGCGGTTCACATCGATTTAAATATTTTTTTTTTTTGTTTTTTTTTTTGTTTTGGGTTCAATGTACGTTTACTAGAGTTTTTTTTTATAAAAAATGATATTCGAGCGTTTACTAGTAGTTTTGCTTTATGATTTGTTAGCATATCCGTTTTGGTTCGTATTTTTTGATGGGCCGCACAATAATGATGGAATCTGATATTTTATGGTTGCGCTGCATGGTTTCACTATAAACGGGGACTTTCGAGCTGAAGGCTTTAAATGTATGTAGCTGCTTTGCGTTTTCATTTTGGGAGTATAAGAATAAATAACTAAAATTGGAATAAACTAATATGTTTATATACATAATGGTGGTAAATGTCATACAAAATAAGTTGGCCAGAAATAAATTCTTTGAATAAAGTAGGTACATTTATGGACATACCTAGTATATGTACAAATGAGATGTAAAATGATTAAATAAAAAATGAGACTTATTTAGGATGCGCTGCAATGAATCGTATGAGAGTTAATGAAGTGATTGGAAGTGGAAATTTTTGTCCGTTTTTTGAAAATAATAAAAACAATTGTTGGTTCAAACTCGTGTGGAATTTGCAACTTTATTATTTCTAAATTTGCACGTTTTCGTGATGAGGTTACATTTCTTTATTTAAGAGTTTTCAAAAGTAATTTTAAATGTGTCTGAAAATTTATAATGCTTTAAATTTTGCTGAAGTATATCATATATAGTGGAGCAGCTTTTGATTTCGATTAACATTTAAGACTTAGATTTGGCTAGCTGTTCTGGTTTTCACAAATCGAGCTAATTTTGTCGATTCTAATTCGAGTACCATTGTGCAAGTGGACTTAAATTTGATAGTTTGACAACACCGTGCGACAGTAAATTTAACACACAAAAAATTAATATATTCGCGAAACTATGCCTAAATTATAGTAAAACTGCGAACTTAGTTTTTCTCTCTGACGTCAGGTTTTTTTAAAAGGACTTTGAAATTTAAAAAATATTATTTAAACAATTTAGTGCATTGTAGGATAACAATAAGGCTATCATATAAAAGAAAAAATTCTGTAGAATTATAACAGACTTAATTTTTTGGTGCATAAGGACGAATGGGTATGGAAAATGTCCTTTACAAATTTGGTCCTTAAATATCTTTGAAAATTTGCAATATTTATTTTTGAAAAAATTATGGTTTGAGGACTAACATACACACGACGTCATCATCGAATTTCGTTTTGCAAACTTTATTACCTTAAAAAGATAAAATTTATTAAAAGCGCATTTTCAATACTTATTCGTCCTAGTAAACCAAAAAAACTTTATTGTTTCTAAATTCTACAGAATTTTCTCTCTCATTTGGTACGCATATTGTTATTCTATATTGCACTGATTTTTTTTTTAAATAATTTTCTGAATTAATCATATGTTTAAAATTTCAAAGTCCTTTAAAAAAAATCCTGACGTCAGAGTGAAAAACTAAAAACGCAGTTTTAATATATTTGGCCCATAGTTTCGTGAGTATATCGATTCTCTTGTGTGTTTTGAATTTTTTTGTTTTTGTCGCACGTTCTACTCAGGGGCCAGCGAATTCAAATTGGTACCTTTGCGAATACAAATCAAAAGGAGAATATTTGTGAAAACAAAAAATGACGTGTAGAAATTTTTAAAATGTCAATATATTTTAGAATGTAAAATATAGCGAAGCTTAAAAAGTCCTAGATTAACGTAGCGAATTGTCTTATCTACTGAGAAATGAAATTTACCTACTTTGACTACTTTTTTGGAGGCGATTTGCTGGAAATACATATTAATAAAACTTTATAAACTGCCGGTCGGGCATAACTTACCACCCAAAAATTATAGCATACATGATGCGCCGTCCTGGTGGCGATGACATTTCTCATCCTGATTACCACCACTTGATTATTTTTTAATAAGGTAGAATTTTTTTTTTAAATAATGCAAAATCTATTTTATTTTGAACCGACTTCAAAAAAAGGAGGAGGAATATTTTTTTTTATGTATGTTATCGCATAACTTTGAACCACGTCAACCGATTTCTGTAATTCTTCAACTTTTTAAAAGAATGGTAGTACCTCAGAGGTAGTCCCATAATAATTTAGATCCGATCTTTGGATCATGGAGAAATTAACGGTACTCTTAAATTTTTCTATGAGAATTGAAGTCGGTTTTTTTACTCAAAAATTACTTGTTCTTAATTATAGTTTATACTATAACAAAAACTATATATGAATGTAAATCAAAGTTAAAAAAAAAACTTTATCAAGTTTTCATAAAAATTCCAAACTAACGTTAGCAAAAAAAATAAATAAAATAAAAAAATCAACCAGAATTTTGGGCCACTTTAAACTTGCACACTAAAAATTTTGAAAATTTTATGGCCCATTCCATATGAATTCAACGGGCAAAATAAATCAATTTCTTCGATTTATTTCAAACTTTGAGGTCATAATCTACGTTGATTTTTATGGGACACATAATTTTTTATTTTTTTCCGAAAAACGGTTCTGAAGCACGTGGCACGGTATAAAAGGTTATGTCGTAAAAACGACAAGCTTGGTCTTGGCCATAAAGTGAAAAATATTTAGGGCCGGTTTCTTAATGTTTGGTTAACACTTTTGAAGATCGTGTGCGATATGTAAGGTACATATAACCAGAGGAAGAATAACCAAAACTGGTCAAAAAGTAACTAAACTTAATCAGCTGACCACAATTGTATGTACATTCGGGTGCATTACTTTCTATGCAAAAAATTTCGGTGCTGTTTTTCCTGTCTTATTATATGTATGTATGTATTTTAAGACTTCCGTCAAAATATTTTGGGAAAATATTAAGATTTACATGCGCTGGACCGATGTAAAAATATCATAGAAAATCTAATTATTTTTACTCCGTGGTAAAATTTTTTTAAACATTGTCATGCCAACCTTTTAAGCTTAAACTCTTCTATCATCTGATATCATGTTTTTGGGAAAAATATTTGAAAACACTAATTTTAGTTACAAAAAAAACTCGACATTTGGAGGTATTTTAAAATCGCCGCAGCTCACGTAAATCTCAATAATTTTCCGAAATATTTGGTGAAAGTCTTAGAATATAATAAATTGTATAATTCCAGTGGAAAAGCTGCAACTTTTTTTTGGCGGGGCATCCTAATGCACTTGTGCTAATATAGAAACATTTTTATAATTTGTCCACTATTGACTAAAATATTTTTTGTTTATATAAGTATGTTTATAAAACACATGTATATGTACGAGATATGAAAACAGACAGAAAAATTAAAAGGACAAAAATTTCCAGGAAACTAAAAATCAGAAATTATAAATACCAGTGACGTAAGCAATTAGCATAGAATTGAAAGAGCAAAAGTACAGTATAAGTAAGGGGGTATACTGGATAATAAAAATAGCAAAGTATCAAAGCTTTTGTGAGAGTTAGAAAAAGGAGAAATATACAAAGAAAAAGAGTAGTAAGAGTAATATTGAAAATTTAGAAAAGTAGTGTAGGCAAAAGTTTGAAAATTTGAAACTGCGATTACAAGATTACAAGAAACCAAATAAAAAGTGATATATTTATGGGTATTACGTTATGATATACACACACGCTATATATTTGTATATTGAGTATTGAAAAATTTTAAATATTTTTATTCATCAGAAATTGTGATTGCAATTTTTTTGAGAAGTTGCATAAACGAATGTTTATATTTGAGTGAGAATATGTAGTTGTTTTGTAAGAGAACGCGACAAACAAAAGCATAAGCAAATGTAAAAATGCTTCGTTATATGTAGTAATATAACTATGTACGTAACTTTGGCCAATATTATGTACTTATGTATTATATGGTTATATATTTATATAGTTTATAAATGTAGTTAATAGGCTGTAAATATATAACTGTAATTATTAAATGATCAGTTGTGCGTTTACGGTTATAGTAAATCAATTCAACTGCACAGTAACAAACTGAACAAAAGTGATTTTTTTAATCAACTGAGCAGAACGAAATTGAAAAGAACTTTTCACCGAACGATTTGCATCAAACTATTAGAAATTGCTGTGTTTAAAAACTTGTTTGAGATACTTAGAATTTGAACTAAACTAAATTAAACTAAACTAGAAAAAATTTTAAAAACTATAAAACTAACATCCGTTATTCCATAGACATCGCAAAATTTACACGCTTGTTTGGCAGGCGTATACAATTTTGCAATATCCAATATGAAATAATTTTTGTTTTATTTTTTCAATAAATATTTTTTTTTGGCTTGCAAGTTTTTTTTTTTTTAGTTTCGATTTCATATGGAACTTATCCCTGCTGTAACTCATAAAATAGCATTGTCCCGTCATTAGCTGCTTGGCCCATACCTAATGTACCTCGATTTGTCATCATCTTCACCACTCACGGCACCTGTAGCATCTCCGCTCTCGAGAACAGCGCCATCGGCGGCGACACCCTCACCAGCTTCGGCGCCACCCTTGCGCAGCCCCGGAATGGAGGGCATCGACGGCATGGCTGGCATAGCTGGCATTGATGGCATAGACATGGTAGGCATTGCCGGCATCGATGGAATTGAAGCGCTGGCACTGCCTAACCAGCCTTTGGCACTTCCCAACCAACCGCTGCAATGGAAAGAGGGAATAAAATGTGATAAGATTAATTAGATATTGCACACGAATTTTATTGACTTATTGAATAAGTTTATTTTATTATGAATGCGTATGTTTACATATATATGTATTCTTATAATATAATTGTATATTTATAGTATAATTGAAAAATAAAGGGTGATACATATAATAGTTTTTATTTTACTCAACAAATAGCTGATTAAAAATTTCACGCCATATATGATTCCGAATTCTATGAATGTACCATGTCTATGGGAGCTCAACGCCATCCCCTTTTATGTAGTTTATCACAAGCACCAGCTTTAGTTATGTCTCCATACCAACCCCATCTAACTAACTTATGGTTCTGAAGCTATATAGCTGATTAAAAATTTCACTTCTAAGGGATGTGCACGCCCCTTTTTCTAAACTTAAACTTCAAAAAACATCTTTCGCCTGACCTCCACATGTTTTAAATATTTCAATAATCTATTTCACTTAATTCAAGTAAAATTTGACTTGTTAACAGGTATCAACCCTACATGTACATATGTATGTACATTAGGATGGTCCAAAAATGCATGTGAAAAGGAAACGTCGAAAATGTTATGCTCTCACCCCCTAGGAATGTTCTATACCTAAGAAAATATACTCATATTTTTATACCCGAGCGCACTTGTGCACAAGGGTATATTAATTTTGTTCACATAACGGTTGTTTGTAACAGCCAAAACGAATCGAGATAGATATAGACAAATGTATACATAAATGATCAGGATGAAAAAAGAAATCGATTAAGCCATGTCTGTCTGTCCGTCCGTCTGTCCGTCTGTCCGTCCGTCCGTGTACACGATAACTCGAGCAAAAATGGAGATATCTCAACGAAATTTGTTATGTAGGTTTCCCTTAATCCAAGGTAGGTTGGTATTGAAAATGGGCGAAATCGGACAGTAACCACGCCCACTTCCCATATAACGGTAATTTCCAGAAATACGAAAACTGCGATATTTTAGTAACTACTGAAGATAATTCACTCAAAATTTATATTTACAATAATTTTTAGACGAAAAATAAGAATATTATAAATTTTTGGAAAATGGGCGTAGCCACGCCCACTTTTGGTTACATGTGTATATCTTGGTAACTGCTGCACCAATTTCTTCCAAACTTGGCACAGTGGTTGGCCTTGGTACAGCATACAAAATCGCCGAAAATTTTTAAAATCGAACGATAACCACGCCCACATCCCATATAACGGTAATTTAGAGAAATATAAAATCTTCGATAAATCAGTAAATATTGAAGCTAATTTATTCAAAATTGATGCTTTACCAAGAAATACGTTTATGGTAAAATTTTGGAAAATGGGCGTGGCACCGCCCACTTATGATCACATATATGTATCTCGGTAACCGTTCTACCAATTTGTACCAAACTCGGTGTGGTTATTGTGCTTGCCACATATAAGCAAAACGTTGAAAATTATTGAAATCGGACTAAAATTACGGCCGCTTTTCATATAACGGTAAATTTTAGAAATGCTTGAAACTGCAATATTGAAATTGAAAGGACGCTAATTTACTCAAAATTGATACACCCCGGCTTACCATCTAGCGGTAGGTTTCGGAAAGGTGAAAAAA